CCCCGACCAATCTTGCACAAAGTCATCTACGTTGGTGGTATTGGTGTGTCGTTGAAACCGTCTCCACTACCTGAGGTGATCATCAATATCAGTATCATTATTGTTGTTAAGTGAGTTATCAGTTATCGAGACAATGTGATGTGACTTGAAACTTTGCAGAAATTCGAGAAATTGATGCAGAAAGGTGATAAAGGTGTGGTGTTGTTCTCACTTGGAACTATTGTACCGTCTTCAGCTATTCCGATGAATATTCGAGTGGACATTATCAGAGGTTAGATTCTTTGAATATTTGACCTGAAGAAGAAGTACGAATGTGTTTGTGGTTTGTCTGCAGTCGTGGCATTGAAGCTGTCTGATGGGAGCTGTTTTCAGTTTTAATCAGATGCTGATATGCAATCTGGATCCCGAATAAATAAAAGCGTTGAAATTTCAGCATTTAGTGAATTCAGTGATTTTCACTTCTTGATGAGAGTGGACGAGAACGATAACGAAACTGATCAGGTGATAAAGGATATGGGTGTAGGCAATGTTGAGTTGATCGGATGGATGCCACAATCAGATTTACTCGGTAAGCCATTAAGATTCATTTGATCGCAGAGGTTCATTTCATGCTAGCTATAAATTCACGATATCGTTTACGTGAGATAAAGAGCTGCAATGAGATTGTTGTTCAGGTCATCCTCGCATGAAATTGTTCATAATGCATGGTGGATTGAATGGTATGATAGAGACGGCGATACGAGGAGTACCGCTGCTCGTCATTCCGTTCTTCGGTGATCAGTTCCATAATGGAGCTGCGGCTGAGCATCGTGGAATTGGTTTGGCATTGCAAAGAAATAATCTCAACTATGCTCAAATGAAGAAGGCGCTCACACAACTGCTCACAAATGAAAAGTATGCAGTCCTTAAACTGACTGATAGATGCTTAATTGTATAATGTGCTTTTATCTTATCATTATGTCAGCTCATGTTTACAAGATACAATCTGTGTTTGCTTTCGCATTCGTCTGATAGTGAAAATACCAGTTATGTTTACACTTTCTTTTTGATACGGCAACAGATACAGATCAATCTGATCATATCATTATGGTACTACTTCATAAGATTATTAATGATATCGTATGATATAATATGATATGATACCTAGCCATGTTATCAATTTCAGGTATCTAAAAGCAGCACGTCGGCTGTCAGAAATGATTTGCAATAAACCGAATAAACCTGAAGAGCAGTTGATCAAGTGGACCAATTACGTAATCAAATACGGACCGTTGCCTGAACTCCAAGTGGAGGGAGCGAAGTTCAGTGTAATTAAGTACTTTGGTTTGGATATATTTGCAGCGTTGTTATTGCTGATAGTTATTGCGATTGCTGTGATTGTTAGGATCATTAGAAGATTAGTTGCGTTATTTCGCA